CCCAAAACATAGCACTGTACCAGCTACTAGGAAGACAGTTAACTCTATCCCAGCTGAAACCAGGACATCAGTACTTGCTTATCTGTGCTATTGTGGTACATCATCCTTGTCCTTGTGTGGGCATGCATATACCTCTTTTGCAAGAAGTCTTCCTGACTGCTGTTCGCCACCCAGCTGGCTGCTCAGCTTGTGTCATCTGTAAACTGCAGTTGCAGAACAGTGGAAATTCTGCTTATAGATGTGGTGTCTGTGCCTGGGCTGTTGTATACCTGTGAGCAGCTTCACTGGAACAGGGCACACTGAGGAATAGATAGTGAATCATCTCCATACAGTGAAATTTGCTGTGCTGGGATAACCTCTACAGTACACTGCTTTTCAAAACTGCTTTGGTTTATAGCAAGTGTTATAGAGAAGCTGAAGTCTGTCATGTCATTTAACACTTTCCCTGTTTCTACTTAATATCAATGCTGGAGGGAAACCACCTGCTTTTATGAGTGAGGGGCCCTTGTTTGGAAGACATGGTTAAATTTAGCAGTAGTGATAATTTTAGCATAAAATCTAAAGGGCAATGCTTGAATGGTCTTTAAACTGAGTACTACTGAGTTGTTCAGTCTGCATGATATCTAGCTTGTGTTTCCATGTGTCACACCCTGCTGAGCTTGTTTTATTAAGGTGAGCCATAAGAAAAATACCCTGAGTACATGTTCTTCTGTCTACAGGATGATTGTTTCAGAGGAGCATCTCTTTTCAGCTGTTTGCCATGAGGAATGTTGGCTTCACTTCAAAACAATCTGTGCTAGCTATTGCTATCATCAGTGGATAGTTAGGTTTTTTCAGCTGGGTTAAGTATGAAAATGTCTCTGGAACTGTTTTTCACATAATAAGCTAAATTTTATTTAAGCTTACCTGATCTGTGCTTTCAGAGGGTGAAGACTCTTGCACAATTCCTGGCAAGCTTTTTTCCCTCACCAATGTGTTGGTATGCACCTTTATGACTGAAGAGTTCTTTTTATGCTCTCCTCTTTGAATGGTTTTAGCAAAACCAAGCTGAAAATCCACACAAACCCTGGATAAAAAGATGTCTTGTCCTTCAATCCTATACAGTTTTGCACTGTTATGCTTGGTACTTGGTCTTGAAAGTTCTTGTAGACTGTTTCACTGAAAGATGTAGATAGAAGTCACTTACAGGAATACTTTCAAAAACAGATTTGTCCATTGCCAAAATGGAGGGTCAATAGAAATAGTCTGACAGATGGATCATATGCCTGATCCTGCTATAGATTATAAGGATGCTTTGCAAAGTCAAACTTGGCCCTCGGCTCAGGACAGCTTTTACTGGAATGCAATGATATAGAGGCATCGCTTTGTTACTGTCAAGGCTTTATAGGGTTTTGTAGTAGGCTAGATTGGCAGCTTGTCTTGGTAAATGAAAGTCTTAATATTTTTAATAGCTGCTTGCTTTTGCATCAATCTGCTAAGGTAAATTTTAATCTGTCTTAGTTTTTCACTGATTATGCAAGATCTATACAATCTGGGCAACTTCTTTCCCCCCTCCTTGTTGAAGTCTTGTGGAGCCTGGACACCTAAGGGATTTTAGGATATCCATCTCATCACAGGCCTATTGCTTAAAGGCTGAAGGGCAGTAGTAAAAGAAAAGATATGCGAGATGATAAGCTGCTGCTCTAAGACTTGCCTGTATTTCAGAGCTTTAACTGCTTTATTTTTAAGTGTAAACTGCAGAAATATACTTAATGTGCCTAAGTATGACTAAGCAGGAGTAACAAATCTCTGCATTAGGGTACTGTCCTATGCACATTACTCATCCTGGAACTTGACCTTTGGATATTTATCTAAAAGAGTGTAGTTACATGCAGAGTGACTAACACTAGCACATCTTTGCTGCAGGCAGTATGATGCCTAAACAACTGATCAGAGTTAACAAAAGATAAGCTGAGCTTTTTACTTGCTTGGTCCATAGGATGCTCAGAAACACTAGCTTGTGCATTCTGAAGGGAGCAAGCAGTGAATGCACCCTTGTCCGTAGGGCTTCACACAGTTTTGGTGTTGAGGGAAATGTGGAACCCATAGGTATCATTTGTTCATCATTATGGATGGAGTCATAGGGATTCCTGTCTTGGTGAAGAACATATCAATGAAACTGTATGTGCTGTTTGCCTGTGTAAAAGCGGTGTAAAGATTTGACTTACTGAAGATCAGTACTTCAGGTAACTGCCAGTCAGGTTATTCGAAGGCAGGTTTGGGGTGTTTTTTCCCTGAAGAAACCAGTTGTGACCTGATGAGGCAGGCTATGGGAAGCAGTGCACTCCAAGCCATTTGTCTTCATTTAAACTCTGGCAGTAGTGATGATGCTTTGAAGACTCTTCTAATTTTCTCTCTAACAACATCCTGTGGTATGTGCTGCTGCATCTGTTCCACTGGATGACTGTAACTTATAGCTGGAAACTGAACTGTAGGTAAATGTGAGGAAAGGATTGGTGCTTGCAGAGATCCTTGATTATTTTTTTTTAATCGGGGTGGTAGCAGTAATCAGTCACAGCTGTATAACTTAGCTGCTGTAGCTGGAGAAGTTGCTTTCCTGTTAGCCCTATGGGGTAAAACTTTGGTTTTTACCTGGGATAATCTTTTATTTGAAAAGTGCTATATAGAAGCAGAATCACCAAAACTTTGGAATGCATGCATTTAACCTAAGATTAGAAACCATGCAAAAATGTTGATGTCTAAATCTCCTCTAAAAGAGCTGCAAATTCTTACTATAGTTTGTTTGACAGCTCAAAAGCTGCTAGCAAAACCCATCTGCAGAGGACTTCTGTGAAAAGACAAAAAGCCAGTCAAGCACTGTCTAGTGTGGGGTATGACTACTGACCTGAACTGCTCATAAAGTAAATGACTGGGGTGAAGTTAGTTGCTTTTTCTTATGCTGAAAGAGCAGTGTCTCTTCCATCTGGCATAATGGTTGCTGTTTAAAAGCCTCTGCAGTGAGCTGTATGTGACTTGAGCAGAACCATCTATAGTTCTTGTGCAGCCTTGTTTACATTGAGTGCACTATCCCAATGGATGTCTAATTTGAATTGTGAGAATGTATCCACTGACTACTTCCCACCTCTACTAGCAATTGCAGAGGATGAGCTTGTACAGTCCCCATCATTGCTGGGAATGTCTGCATGGCTGGCATGCTGCATGTTGCACCTGGCAAGACCCACCTGTAGTCCTGTAGTGCATATGTCCCAGTGCAGGGATGCTGGGCTGATAAAAGATAGCTAGTGCTATGAACCTCACATAGATTCTTTGAAAAGCTTTATAGTGGAGTGATCAAATCCAAGATGCACTGAGTGCTAATTTACAAGGTTACAAGCATCAGTTGGCAGCTTTTGCAGCCTTTATTGAAGTGGTATCTACTTCTGTGGGAATCTATTTTGGGTCTCTTTGGCAAGTGTACTTGCAAAAACTGAGTAAAACTGTACAATGAACTGCTGTGTTGCTTTGACTGGAAAAAGTCTACCTCATAGATGAGAGAAGAGAACAGGGAGAAAGAGCATACTGCTGTTCTTGTCTTGCTAAACAAGGCTAGGTAGTTCTTATTTTTATAGGAAGTCTTTTTTTGAGAAGTGTGTACTGGGAACAGCTTGTTGTGGATATGACACATAAGAGCTGGCATGGGGAAGAAGGTCCAGCTGTGTGAGTAGGTAGCGTCAGAGCACAAAGGTAAGGTTTCTGTCACATTTTAGTGGGTTATGGGCTTAAGCAGGAAATCTGAGTTCTGAGCTGCCTAGTTTTCTGTGAACAGGGAAGAACATGATCACTGCTTCATGTGGTCTCAAGAAGTCAAAGGGAATAATGGCAGAAAGCCCTAAAAAATACAACAGGGAGGGAGTTGCTAATCTCTCAGGACTCAAGGTGGTGTCAGCAGCTCTTAAGCTTCTTCTGTTATCCTGCTCTGTGTAGCAGAGACCACAGCTCCTTAATTGGAAGCATGTCCCCTGGGACTGCTGTTCTCCTAAACAATAAATCATTCATGCTTTCCTGTTGAGAGCTGATGTAACTTTTTCAAGGCATCAGTTCAGTCTCTCCTTTGTGGAGTGGCCAGGTGACTGCCCTACTACCACCATGTGGGCAATGGTATGTTTCCTGTTAAACCACTTGCAGCTCTGCCTGTACTAAAAAAACCTGATAACTAAGCCTTTAATGCCTTCCAGTTAATAGCCATGTTTCCCCCATGTCTTTTTTGAGGGCCGGTAAGCCAGGAGAAGGAGGACAATCTGCTTTGTCACTTAGCTTTAATATGCCCTTGATAAACAAAGATAACTGGTAGGTCTCCGTCTTACGTTGAAAGGGATTTACTGTTCAGTGGAGTTTGGCCAATTCTGACAGGTCCTTTTAAAACTGTCCCAGCTTTACCTAACTCTGCTTGAGAGGCAAAATAGCCCTGTACCATATTCTTCACTTAACTGAGAAAAGCAGTTCTGTGTAAAATTGTCGAAACCAGCAGCAAGTCTTGGGGCTTCTTGGTCTTCTAGAACTTCCTATGAATCCTGTCATTTCTGCCACTGGCTTGTACAGTCAAGTGCTTACACAAGTTCATGTGGCTCAGCCAGCTTCAGTGTTTTCAATTAAAACATATTTATAACACTTTACAGGTTCTGGAGGTTTGGCTCACTAGCAACATGCTGTCCCAATTTCACTGGGGCACAAGGCCTCTATTTGGTGAGAAGCATTTGTGCATGTAACACCTCAATATAGAGGAATGTCTGGTTTTTGGCTTCTGCTATCAGTGCTGATTTGTCAGAGTTGAGAGCATATCAGTCTCTCCTTTTGTGTAAGGCTGCAAAGATCAGTGTTGCCAGTTCACTCATAGCAAAAACAATTTCATATTAGTTTCTATATTTGTTATCGAGGGGGAGATTTGTTATGGGAGTGCTTATCTGTTCTCAAAGGCTTGTTAACGCAGCAGGGATAAGCAATTAAATTACTGCCTCTTTCAGGTATGTTCCACCCCTGATCTGGGGAAAGAGTGGACATATCCAGACCGCCCTTTACGGAAAAATGGGAAGAGTGAGATCACCACATCCGTACGGACTTCGCAAGTACCTCACAATGCCAGATGGAGCAACAGCTACCTTTGATCTCTTTGAGCCACAGTCTGAGCACTGCATTGGAGGTCAGTCAAACAGCTGCTGGCTGCATCTAGCTGCTAACCTTGATTCTGTGCTCTGGGAGATGGATGAGGATATTGCTACTTCCTTTATCAGAAAGGATAGATGTTAATTCTGGTGATGGAAGGGGGCTGCTAAGCAATACTAACCAATGTGTGGAGGCTGTGAGGCCATCTTGCTGTATACCTGTATCTCAGACAGCAGGAGAGACCCTACTGGACTAATTAACTGTGGCAAGGAGTGGGGAGTTAAGGAACAGAAGAAAAGTTCCATAACCTGTTCCTCAAGTGAGAGGCTGGCAAAGAGAATCTAGTGGTAAGCCTTGTTTGGAGTGCCCTTTGCCTGTTAAGGTGGTGGGATCATAGAACAGAGGCTAGCTGTGCAAGGTTTTTCATAGCCTGGTGTGTATGGAGAAGAAACTAGACTTTATCTCCCCCATAGGAACAAATTCTTGGTAGTCTTTACTAACAGGTGTTTCAAGATCTGCACGGGAATAAACCCTGTGTGCACAGGGTTTGAAGGAGTCCAGCCATGAAGAGAACTCCATGAAAAAGTAGAAAATCATGGTGATTTCTTACAACATTATGTATATTTAGAGTAAATGTCAGCTTTCAAACTCACTGTTACTAGTAGTAACAGCAACACTTAAAACTGAGTTACTGTGGCTTGACTTCAGAAGTACAATTTACCCCGTAGTAGCTGGTTTCATTGTAAGCCCATGACTCATTTGGCCTTCAGAAAAAGCAGAGTTCTTTTCTTAACTGTCAGTGTTGAGATCCTCATGGTATAAAGCTGCGCTAGAACAGTTACTGTTATCTTTATCACTGAAGAGAATCTGAGCAGTGCTTTCCTAATGAGGCAAAAATTCAGCAGCTAGAGCTGCTAATGTTGGAGCTTTGCACATCAGAGTCTGATAGCTAATTTGAAGTGCGTATGCTAATCCTGAATGTAATTTACTGTGCTTACTTGAATTACAACAATTACTTTCTTAGTTGATGAAATGATGCCTTGTTAAACTAGTGAACAGTGTCAGCAGATCAAATACCATTAGATTAGCCACAAAGCAGATGATGGCTAATGTCAGCCTATCAGAATGTCTGTACATGGCAAAGCTTCATTTTGAAGATCTGTGTTACACCCAACTCTGGAAGGGAAATGAAGGAAAAGTAGCGTAGCCAGTCTACTTGGTGCATGAACGAGCAGTGGCCTCCAGAGCTTCCACACACTTAGCAGTCACAACAGGCTGTCAGAAGGCAGAACTTATAATCTCAAAAACATCTTTAAAGGGAAGAATTTATTCTTGGTCTCTAGGCAGTGCCTGTAGAGCTGTTTGGGCAGCTTTCCCTGAAGTCAGAAAACTGTTCATCTCAACATGAATTACTTTTTCACATCTCTAGCACTAGAGTCACTAGTCTCCTGTCCCATACTGGATTTTTGGCAGACTAGTAGGATTTTTAGCTTGTTTCTGGTAATGGTTTCCCACAGATCTGAAATGGAAATCTTCTGAGTCTCTTAATTTGCATGAAGTGACATTTACTTAACTTCCCTCTCTTTCTGTGCACAGAGGATGTCACGATGGTAATCTGCCCTGGGATTGCTAACCACAGTGAAAAGCAGTATATCCGCACTTTTGTTGACTATGCGCAAAAAAATGGGTACAGATGTGCTGTCCTGAATCACTTGGGAGCCTTACCAAATATTGAGCTCACTTCTCCACGAATGTTCACATACGGTAGGTACTTTATGGCAGCTGGGGACTTATTTTCAAGCTTGTGGAACTTCTAGGGCTTGATCAGTCTCCTTTGGTGTAACACAACTGCTGTATCTGAATGAGGATAATAATTTTGTACTGTTTCTTAGGAACTAAACTGAACTTACATGTGAGGAAGAGGGGAGGCTAATACTGGGGTTCACTTTTCCTTGTTTCTTCTCCCAGCTTTTAGACATGTATCCTAATCAAGGAGGCAGTTTTTTTGGAAAGAAAACTTTTGGAAAAAAACCTCTTGTGGTTACTAAGAGCCTGCTCAAATGATTTTAGAGATGCTGTTAGAAATGTTAGTTTAGTGGAATGTGAAGCAACCTGGCTCTTAAGGATAAACACTACTTCTGAGGCTCTGTTAAATGTAATATGAGAGGAGTTTGTGCTAGCCTATCCAGAAGGTACATTTCTATCCTAGGAGGGCCACATGAGGATTGGTCCCTGGATGTAACACAAATGTCAAGAAAAGCAACAATTCTACAGTATGACAGTAAAGCTATGGAAGTGGTAGTGCTTAACTGCCATGCTTTTGGGCTTTCACCTTGAATATAAGGAAATCTTTCTTAACCTAGAAATTAAAAGGAATAAAGGATTTGGAACTGTGTAAAGGGTAACTCCAACAATTCTTAATTGCCCTGCTAGTGAGTAACATGGTCTTTGTAGAATGTGGCCTTCTTGCCTGTGACCTGATCTGCTTGTTCCTGAGCTCTTGAGCCCCCATGTCCCTCTTAACTGACTCCTGACATAATGTACCTATAGATGTTTGCAGTAGTGGGTTTAGCAGGCCAGTGTTAGGTTTCTTTTTCTTTTTTTTAAAGATAACTAAGATACTTATTGCTAAGAGTTTGGATTAACAGTTTGAATGTTTATCTTGAACAGTTGAATTGCTGAAACAGAAATACTGTGCTTTGAGATTCTGAGCCTGGCAGGCAAATAGGCTGTAATGCTTGGTTGCTTGTTTTATAGTTATTAAATCTATTCCTTGGTGGAAAACATTTCAGGAATACCAAGTACCTCAATTTGTACTGGGGCCCTGGGCTGTTAATGGCTTCAAGCCTACCATGTCTTGGGAGCTAAGCTTGACCTCCTTAATGCATTTGCTTTTTTGATAAAAGTTGAGAGCTTTCTTCCATGGAACTTTACTTTAGACCTTAGGGGTTATTCTGTAGTGCATCTCCTGAGACATACCTTTCCGAGTCTTCTGTAGCCTTGGAAAGGGCAAGGAATGCCTAGTACTTCTGTTGAGTAAGACAGTAAGTCACTTGGCAGAGTTGCTCATTAAGCAGAGGGCCATGAGCAGACTTTACTCTGACTCCAACCCAAATATCCCAGTGTCCTTCCGGCTTTTGCTGGATTCCTGACATATTTGTTGAGGAGCAAGTAGCCTAAATTTGTGATTCACTGAATCCTCCAGCTTTACATCAAGCTGGACCAGTTGCTAATCTAGTTTTGGATTTCTGAAATAGTTACCAGCTGTCTTCAAATCATGAAGGTCAAATACTGAAGTATTGACTGCTGTCTTCTTACAGAGGAACTAGAGCAGTGCAGCATTTGTCATCTTGGCTAAAATTGCTCATTAAGAATGTTCACAAGGAAGTGCCCAAGCCCTCCTGAAATGCTCAGCCTAAAGCTTGCTGTTTCACTGAAGTAAGCACAAACCCTGGTGCTCAGTCTGCTCCAGAGCTAGCTAAAACCCGAGTCTGATGTCTAGCAAGGATGCTACAGTTGGGGTGAGGTCACACTGGAGCAGTGTTTGGTTGGCACAGGGTAGAATCCCAACTCTTAGGATTTATCTCCCTGGACAATTTCCCCAGGATAGAGCTGAGTTTGACTCTAGGCAGGAATAAGCAGCTGGAGTTTTATTTCTGTTGCTCATGTGATGCCTCTTGTGTTGTTTGTTTGCAGTCTTAAATCCGATGGGAAGGTTAAAGTGCATAGGCAGTTGATACCAGTGTACTAATGCCATCAGTTTTGCAGCTGCTTCTCTTCACGTTTCCTTTTCCCAAACTCAAAGGCAGGAGAAATAGCTGTAGGTATTCAGGTGTTGCATGTATGGAGGCCTTCAAGACTGTCAAACAATCTGAGGACCCCAGTACTGCCAGAAACTGGACCCCTTGGTGCCTGTAGCCTGGGGGATGCAAATAGGTGTTAGCTGAGAGCAGAACAGATCTGTATAGAGGCATTTATCTCCTCTCTTGAAGAGGGGATACCCATATGTCTTCTAGGAAGCTGCAGTATCTTTACCTCTTCCGTGGTTAAAAAGGGCTCGCTGCCTCTGCTTAAACCCTTCCCTCTGATTCCAGAGAGCACCTGCTTAGTCTGTGCGGCAGTCCACTGAGAGCTCTGTCCTGACAAGCCAGCTCTGCATTTCCATCCCCTCCCTGCATCAGCATGGGTTTAAGGATCCACGGCAGTCTTGCTAAAAGCAAAGGAGCAAGCTGCTTTCCAGACACCCACTTCAGTTCAGAAATGGCAAACTGCCTCAGGAAGGTAATGATGTGTGCTGTTCTTAGGTAGTAATGTCAAGCCCAGAGTTGCTGGACTCTGCTTTTTAAGCTGCTTTAGAAAGGAAGAGTTTTGATTGTCAGATTAGCTGTTGCTGTGACTTTTTAAGCAAGTTAATTTCATCTTGCTTTGGCAGTCTGTTAGAACTAAGCATGAGCTAAGGTCCACAGGACTCATAAAACAGATACATGAACACATGTGTGAATTGGAGCTCTTAACCTTAAGGTTGTTAAAAAGTCAGAAAGGGGTAAGAAGCTGAACTTAAAGCTTGAAGTGGGAATCTAGGTCTGTTAAAAGATGATTCTTGACTTTGTCTTTACCTTTTAGGTTGCACCTGGGAATTTGGTGCCATGGTTAATTACATCAAGAAGACCTACCCTCAGACCCAGCTGGTTGTTGTGGGCTTCAGCCTGGGTGGAAACATTGTGTGCAAATACCTGGGAGAGAGCCAGGCCAACCAGGAGCGAGTCCTCTGCTGTGTCAGTGTGTGCCAGGGGTACAGTGCACTGAGGTAGGTCTAGAGACTTCTCCATGCTGGTCTCTTCTGGGGGTGCAGGAGCAGGCAGATCTTTGGCAGGGTGCATGTGAGAGGGCAAGGGGAAGAGTGTGTTGCTTCTCTTGCATTGAACTGGTCTGACTGCAGCATGTGGGATGCCACCCTCCTGAAGGAGCAGGCAAAGCTTTGTTGGTTTGGCAGCACAAATAAGCTTTCTGTCAACAATGCAAATAAGTTTTCTGTACCTGGCCAGGTACATGCTGGCAGCTTCTTGTCTGTGCATGTGAGCTGGCCTAATTCTGTCTCATTAGGACTCTACAGTGTCCTGAGAGGAGGCATTCCCTGTGCGGTCGTGGTATAATTAACCAGGCAGGCTGGGCAGTGTGACAAACGGCTGAGATGATGCCAGGTTTGCAAGCAATAGTTTACACTTTCTCATCACTCTGAGAAGTATCCCTTGGTTCATAATAGCTTGTCTGGCTTCAGTGTGCAGTTTGGCAGCTGTTAACTTGTGGAGACTGCGAAGAGACGCACAGCTCGCACTGTCAGTCCATGCTTGCCTCTCAGTGTGTGTCACTGAAGCAGTGCTTTGGGCTAATGAGTAGAGGGAGAGACACTTGCAACTATGTTATACCATTTGGAAGGTGGGGAGGAGAAGGCTTAAAGCCCTAAAGTCTGCCTTAAAATGTGGTTCCCTGCCTGGAAGCCAAGGCTGTAGCACTTCAAGAGCTGTATCAGCTCCACCTAGTGCTAACACTTGCATTTAGTGATGAAGGATCTGGGTACAGCACTGCTGCTTGAAAACTGGTGTCTCAACTAGTGTGCAGTAACTTTCCATGTATGCACAGTTAATAAAGATTAAAACAGTGTAACTGGCTAAGCTACTACTTTCAGTTTTTACTGTGTGTACATATGAACAACTACTAAGGTGTAGCTGACTTTACAGTAACTTAACTGCACTTTTGAGCCCTGAGACTATTTGAAAGGCAAAAGGGGTTGCTGAAACTGGGGTATTTGGGTCAAAATCCTTTGGGCAGATAAAAATGGTGAAACTATGGCAGCCCTGTGAGGGGCTTGCTATGGAATTTAGTCTTGCAGCCTGGTCAAGGTAGCTGGAACTCTTGGTGCTGCTGATGCTCTGCTTGTGCAGGGACCAGTTTGATACAGTCTGAAGACACCTCTTATGAGTTAAGCTCTTACAGGTGAAAGTAAGAAGCTTTTCTGGAAGCATTAAGATGTAAAAACTTGATATGCACTTCAGTAATATTCCAGCATACCTAATCCCTTTTGAGATCAGATGTGACTGCTGCTAAAGGAGTATATAAGCTACTGCTAGGTCCTCATGAGTTTACACCCTTAAAATCTGAACATTAGCTTTCAGGAACAGTTTTTCTGTTTTGTTTCAAGTAAAATGTTCTTAGTTGTCTTGGGGTTCTGGCATGGAGCACAGAGCATCCTTTTGAAGCCAGCTCTTCAATTGCAGCCATCAGATGGGGTTTGCAAGGATCACATCTGGCTGCAGTCCACTTGGTTCATCTTCTGCAATTGCACAATATTGTATTTCTGGTCTCCAAAATTATGTGAGTAATGCTGTTCCCTAAGCAGATTTCTGTAGTAGTGTGTCGTGATGTGCTGGTAGAATAGCAGGGCAAGGACAACCTGTTTAACAATACTGCACTTGGATATTTGTGTGGAAAAATAACAGCTGCTTGTCTTGAGTTCAGTGCAAGTCTTCAGTGAGTTGTTTGGATTATTGAGCTCTTGTCTCCACCTGCTGGGTAAACATCTACTAGCAAATATCCAGTCAAAACATCTGCTGTGCATTACTGGGCAATCAGCAGGAAGGCTTTTCAGATCTTGTGTCTCCCTACCTAATAGCTACTTCTGCTTTAAAGGCTAATTAGCAAAGAGCTAGGGGAAAGCAACATCAATAAATATCTACTAAGCAAAAGACAGGATAGGGAGGGCCTTGTGCCCCTGGTTATAGAAGTGGGAGAGGAGAGGTACAAAGCACCTCCAGGTGGAATGGTTAAGTGTTTGCCTTCCTGGGTTTGGTCTGGTAAAATAATTGGCCTCATCCCTCTGGGCTACATGAAAATGGATTAGCCAGGTAGATGTGACCAGTTAGTTTACAATTCCATTTTCTTTTTTTATTAGCTTGTACAGCCTTTATCCCCCAAATAACTTTAGGAAGTGAAGGAAAAATTGGTGGTGAGCAATGTGAAGCAGGTATCTGGAATATGAAAAAGCTTTTCCAGAGCATTAAGCATGAGTCCCATAGATGGGCATAATAAAGTAGCAGCAATACTAGGATGTGCCAGAAGAATATGAGACTCTTAGTTTAATGAATTAACACAGTCTGGGGAATTTGTTCCCCAAGGCTAAATGGGGACATGTCTCATTCCTTAATCTTTGCCTGCACAGGCTTGATTCTGCTTCTTGATCTTGTGGAATGCATCTTTGCCATAGCTACAGGCCATGGGGAGAGTCCTCAGCTTTGAAACCTGTGCAGTCTTCAAAATACCAGAAGCTGCCTTTTTTTCAGTGCTTGCAGCTCTTCATATTAGTAGTACTACTGTACATCAGAGGAACTGCAGGGAAATGCAGTAGCTTTAACTTATAACATTTTGTAGTAACTTAATAGGTTTGCTTGGAAAATCTTTTGTGAAGAAAGAAATGTGCATCTTCCTGTCTTCCTTCATTCCCCTTCCCTGGCATAAACATAGTAGGTATAGTCTGGCTAGACAAAAAGACATGAAAGTTGTTTTTAAAATAATAAATAAATCCATATTCCAGCATGGCTTACTACAAGAAAACATAGCTTGCTTTTGCTCTGGTAGGGGACTTGCAGGTTGTGGCTTAGGAGGTCATGCTAAATCTGCTATAGTTCTCATGGTATGTTAATGTTTAAATGGTAGGAGTACTTCAGTAGCTGAAACTGCTCCCAGCATTCTTAGGTTGCTCAGTAAATGATAGTGTGTTTCCTCAGTAACAGTGAACCCTGCTAAGAGTAAAGCTATAACCTGCCCATGACCCTGCATAGCAAAGGAGTGCTGGTATCTGGCAGAGCTTACAAGTCTGGATGGCTTTAATTCTGTTTTAACAACAGATAAGCTGTGAAGTGCTGTTCTGCTTTGAAAATGGGTGAGACTTCAACTCAGATGCCACTTGCAGCTGCAACTAGTATTTATTCCTACAGCTCCTGCCAATGAAGCTAAAACAATACTAGTGTCTGTAGATATTGGAAACATCTGCACACATTATTTCCTCTGCAAAGCTAATATACACAATAGACAACACTTTGTTCAGCAACAAGTTTTAGTCCTTTCCTTGGTAGTCCCATTAGGTAAATTACATTCAACTTATGCAAAGGGATACTAAAATCCTCTTATCAGTGTTGCAGATCTTGACTGACGGCTGTTAAATGCTCTTATCAAAACAGCTAATTGCATTGTGCAAAATGAGACTGCAGATGTGTTTTCTGATCCTACCAAACTTCATCGAAGTGGAAGTCATTTCCTGGAAAAGGTTAAAGCTGTGGCAGGAAGGCCTGGAGATTTGTTTACATTGCCTCTAGGCTGCCAGAAGATGTTACAGAGTATTAATGTGATCTTTCAAGATCTCCATTAACGGCTTTGATTGTTTTGCATGTTTTTTTCTAGGGCACAGGAAACCTTCATGCAGTGGGATCAATGTAGAAGATTTTATAACTTCCTCATGGCAGACAACATGAAGAAGATCATCCTTTCTCACAGGTACTGCAGTACATCACTTTGATAGTATTGATTGGGTCAATTTCTATGCTGGATTTGTCTTGGTCCTTTAAAATAGGACTCCTGAAAGATGATGCACCAGTTCCTTGCTTGATGGTCTTTAGATGAACCAACAGAGAAGGGAAGCCTGTGTCAATCTCTTTCATATACCATAAAATTTACAAATAAGCTTTGGTGATCTTGTTAGAAGAAAGCAGGCTTTGTTGTCTTTTTGCCTTCCGAGGAGACTTCCTTAATGAACAAACACGATGTGCACAGGATAATATTGCAATTAGACTTCAAAGTGGAGTGTTCTGCATCTGCTTCACTTCTAGCCAAAGAATTCCCTATTCCAGGAGCCTCCTGTTCTGTCACCTACCTCAGGTAGGATTAATCCAAGATCTGCTGTATGAGGCTGCTGCTTATCAAATAAGCAAATAGTCAAACTGTAGCTCTGGCTTCTAGCTGTTCCTCTAGAAAGAGCATGTAGCTAGCAAAATACTTAGTGTTGCTCCTCCTGGAGTGCCAGTGTACTTGTAGGATCCCAGTGCTGCTGCTGTGATCTGTGGCTCTTGCATATCAAAGGAATGTGTTTGTTAAACAGGTAGCATGCTCAATATTGTTGTTTATTCCATCAGAAGTTCTCTGGCTACTTCTTTCTAAGGCAGTAAATGTGTAAGTACCTCATCTGTGTATATCTGAAGTTGCCTGACTCAAGGGAAAAGGAGGGGAATATCTAAAACCCATTCCAATTAAGACCATGTGTCACTTGCAAACTTTTGGTTCATTGTTTACACTCCTGTGCAGTATGAAACACTTGTAGAAGGAATTGGGACAGCTGACATATAGGATGATCCACATAATTCATTCCAGATTGACAAATATTTAGACAACTTGCCCAAATTTCACATGTGAAGTGAGGTAAGCCCCCATTAAATGGTACTTAAATCCATAACCCAGAAAAAATGGTGCTGGCTGAAAGGTGAGTCTGTTAAGTAAACTTTTTTCTGTAATCACTTGTGCTCTAAGGCAGCTCCCCCAAATCAAACGTAGCCTCCCTTCTGCTCTGCCCTGCAGCTGCCTCTGAAAGGGAATAAAAACCCCTTTCCAACTTGTGGCTTTTGTTCTATTTGTTAGGGGAGCAGCTTGTTCTGGTAAAGAAACACGTCCTCTCCTGAGGGCAATAACTAATTATGACAAGTGTCCATAGTAAATAGCTTTCTGCTAAGGTAATGTCCCAAGTAATTTCTGCTGTGTGAGCTAACCTAATATCTGTGCTAGAGAGACTTTAGGACCAGATGGTGGAGATGCTATGCCCAGGACTGCTAGTGCTCTCACCCGAGCCACCCACGGCTTTGGTCTGAAGCCAAAGGACCCTCCCTGTAACCCAGCCTCTGTTCCAAATACCCTTAGCACTGTCTGTTCTGGGAAGATTCTTTTTAGAGGCCCCTCATGCAGTTTTTCAGTATAACAGGAAAACATTTTTTTTCTATAAAGAGGCTGCTAGGGTTTCTGTTATGTCTTGCTGCAAAGGGAGGTGGACAAATGAGCTGGTCGCAAGAAAGCCTCATGTATATGTAGTCTAATTCTATTGTTATCTTGTCAGACTTGGTAAACTTTGTCCTTGAACAGGTCATGGCTTTGCTGCCCTTATGTTATTTGGATGTCTGTCTTGATGTTACTCTTTCAGGCAAGTTCTTTTTGGAGATAACATGAAGAAGCCACAAAGCCTGTCAGATACTGATCTGAGCAAACTCTATACAGCAACATCCCTTATGCAGATTGATGATAACGTTATGAGGTATGAAGGGTGATTCTCTGATCCTGTGTGGATCTCTGAAAGTACCTTTTCTTTCAAGTGTTGCTCTTGCATGTGCCTTGCTGCGCCTGTAGGAGTCTGCTGAAATACAGTGCTGACAACCTCAGAAATTCTTCCTTGCCTTCACATTGAATAAAACTTATCAGGAAAAAAACCCAACTTACTATTGACAGTCACAGCTTCTGTAGAATCATCCAGGAGGCATTTATTTATCAGTAAATCTGAAACTGCAGCCTTCAATAACATAGGAAGAGGCCACTTCTGCTGCAAGCTCTATCAAAAAGCAGTGCAGAATGTGGAAAGCAGCTCAGAACAGCTCATGAATGTTCTTAGCCCTGCTTGAATTTGGGGGGGGCAGGGGGAAACAAAACACTAACTTCTCCCCAAAAAACACTACTGCCTTCTCAATAAACATTAGGACTGGCTGAGATAATACAATCTTTTTTACTTGTCATACTAACACCTAAATTAAGCTCTCTGCTTTATTAAGCAGTAGTGTGTTACTGTCTGTGTCCTTGAAAACAACATAGCACTTTCTTCAGTGGCAGTGTTCATACCATGGCATGTTCTGTATAAGGCATTTACACCTTTCCAAAATGAAGCTTTAAACTGTCAGCTATACAGCTATAACACTTTTGGCAGACTGGGAGTATTGCTAGCTGCTTTTTAAAAGCTATTCCTAGGGAAATCTCCCTACTCATCCTTTGGCCCAAACTAGAAAGGCCTTGGGGACAACAGCTATGTTGCCTCTTATGTGTAAAAAAAACAAAAAAAAAACAAAAACAAAAAAAACACAAAAAAACAAACAAACAAAAAAAAACCACACACACAAAAAAAACCAACCACCACATGAGTATAGGTTGACTGCATTCTTGGTTTGGGATGGAGTGCTAAGGATTTGGCAAAGAACTGGAATCACAGTGAATTCTGGGTGGCTTGTAAGCATGCTCTTTGTTCAGTATGTTTGAAGTTCATAAACTGTGGTGGTTTTGTATTTGAAGAGGCTTTCAGGTAAAGATGAACAAGATTGTAATTTTTTTTCTTCCATATGTACTATTACTTAAGTGGGATGCTTCAAAATAAATGCTCTGAAGGCTGTGAGACTTCAACTTGCATTTTTAACTTGCCCATGCTATCACAATGTTTGAGTAAGCACAGAAAGCATAAAGGCATGTGCTGCCAAAGGTGAGTTTTGCAGAGACACTGGGTAGGAAAAAAGCATTGTCTATGAAGATTGAGGCATTGTTCCTATCTCTGCATGTATGCCCTTGCTTGAAAGTAAGAGTCACATGGATACTAGAAGCAGATGACTGCGATGACAGTCTTCTCTATTTCAGGAAGTTCCATGGCTACAGTTCCCTGAAGGAATACTATGAAGAAGAAAGCTGCCTGCATTACTTGCACAGGGTAAGCTCTTGTAATAGAGACTGCTTTTGTACCTTCATTTTCCTACTGGAGAGAAAACACACTGTGGTTTCTGTTGCTGATACCTAGACACAGCTGTCTTAGCTGGGATTTTCAGAAAAAATCAGACACAGTATATTGGAGTGGGATTTCAGTTCTTGTTACCTCTAATACTGGGGCTAGATGCTCTGGGCTCTTAAGAGCTTATAACTGACAGGTAGTAGCACCCAGGTGATCTAGATAAAGCCACGCATTCAGCTGAACTGCTCTGAGTGTATGAGGATATAAGGTCAGAAATGGGTGGTGGCATGGAACCTGCAGTTTCAAGGAAGAAAGACTTAATACTGTGGAAGACACTCAGGATGCTATCTAGCAGGCAGATGCTTAGCAGACCAAAGTTTTGCAGAAGTGGAATTAATTCCACTGAGATCCCCTCAGATCTACTGAGCCAGAGGATGGAGATGTTCCAGGGGTGTTCCCTGGACTTCAACCAAGGTGTCCATAACAGAGCTGGTACTAGCTGCCTGATGTGCAAAGCAATACAGAGCAAAAAAGGGTGTAGCTATGTGAATTCTGAGAATGGGGAAGATCTGTGACTCAATCTGTATTTACTCTGATGCATCCCTGCCACTTTCATACAATTCAGTTGGGAGGGAAAAAAAAATAATCAAGTGCTGTGAAGAACTCCATTGGTGAAAAGCCACCAGCCTTAAATTTTGACTCTTTCTGCTTTTCTGATGCTTCTGCAGGTACAGGGCCATTCTGAAATAAGATGTCTTAAGTTAAGCTAAGATGCTTTTACAGTTGGTAGACTGAAATTTAAATACCAACCCCTTACTGTTTTTCCTTTTCTGCGATGTTTCTTCATGTAGATCTATGTTCCTCTTCTGTTGGTTAATGCTGCTGATGACCCTCTTGTGCATGAGAGTCTTCTATCAATTCCAAAAGCTCTTTCAGGTATGTTGAAGCAGTTTCCTCCAGCTGTGCACATTTGTATACCTGCAGCTTCCTTATCACATCATGATCCATGATTTCAAAGCAGCTTGACTTGCCTCCTTACATCTGTAATCCTGTGGGAGGTGTACCAAGTGTTTTTAAATCACCAGTTGCTAGAACTAACAAGGCTAACCTTGAGCAGGAGGAACTTGGGTCCTTTCAGGCACCTTCTGCTGTTTTGGCTTGTGTTGATAGCCAGCAGGTTACATTCTTGAATGGAAAAATGCTCCCCCATGTCTTCATTCCTCACTGGGATTTAGTAGAAAGATGGGTTATTATGGTGATAGTTTTGATCAAGTACATATGAACAGTCCCCTTTGCTGATGAAAGGGGGGGCACATGCATGGCTATGTTACTTGGTATTGGACTAGGATCTCTCCCTTGAAAGGAGTTCTGTGAGCTGTCTGTCTTCAGCCAAGGAAAAAGGCAAATTACCTTTAGAAGCTCGGAAGAGGGAGCTGGCTGCTGCTTTGTCACACAAATAGTGGATGCACAGGGAGGGAAGCAGGGTTAATTCTGTTCCTGTTTGAAAGCTGAGGGCAGAGAATTTATTCACAGCTGCTTCCAGACAGAAGAAAGCACAGGGATTTTCTCACTATACATGGAACAAGGTGGCTGATATACTGTCAGAGCTTAGTGCAGCTCGACATGATGCTAACAGTCCTAGTTCCAGTGCCCGTGAGTTAAAGATACTCATTTGCTAAAGAATGAGTGTTGTTATGGCAATACAGGTACTGCTGTAAGGGCCCAGCCAGCAGCGTTTCTTGGGCAGACTTCTTGTACTGGCTGGGATTGGTTCCTGCAGACTGGCCTGTTCTGTGAAGCAGTGAGGTTATGTGCTTTGGACTTCAAAGTAGCTGTGGCCTTTGTCAGTGCATTTCTGCTTCCTACATGTGACTGCCCCTTTGGTTCAGATGCTATGCCAAGGGTCAAGTTGATTATCATAACTTAAGATGGTTTCATTCTCAGCTCTAAGATGTTAACCTTCTGGAACTTTGTGCCTTGTTTTGTTTTACAGAGAAAAGGGAAAATGTCATGCATGTGCTGCCCCTTCATGGAGGCCACCTGGGATTTTTTGAGGGGTCTGTACTATTCCCGGAACCTCTTACCTGGATGGATAAGCTTGTGGTACAGTATGCCAATGCCATCTGCCAGTGGGAGAAGACAAAGTCTCACTGCTCAGACACAGAGCAGGCTGTATCTGGCCAGGAGTAGTTGACCCAAAGACTATGGATCACTTCAGTGTATCTCGCCCTTTGGGAACATCTTGTTCCCTCACCTGCTGCTTCAGGTTCCATTCTTTTTGATATCCTATGGCTGGGGTTTGATCACAATGTTTTCTTCCAAAGTGGAGTTAAAGTGGAGGTTAATATCTGGTCAGAGCATTTTGCATATATAGTCACTTGGGTTTGTAACTTCCTGTTCTGCTTGAAGGATTAGGTTGCTGACTCTGACTTGTTACAGGGTTATTGAGCTAAAGACTGCTTCCTTTAATATAGCAGAGGTTTCAGATGTCAAAATCTCTTCACCTGCTGGTCAAAAACTTGATCTGAAGTGTTTGTTTAGGTGCAGATTACAGTGTAACTATGACTCTGTTCTTTGTCCCGGTGCTGGAAAAAACCCTGTACCAAGCCACAAGCCAGTGAGTGGTTCAGTCTGTAAGCCACTACAATGTGGCTTGGAAAAACAGATGCTTGACTGCAAGCGGAGTTCCAGCCTTGCACCATCTCAAGGGAGGCCTTTTAGTTCCTAGGAATGCACTTACACAAGTCAATCAAATTAAAAATACTTAACTTTTCCATGCTTCAGCTGTCTGTGGATTGGGCTGTCTTTATGCTGGGACTCCAAGTAGAGAAAAGCTGCAGGCTGGTAATACCAGTTAATGTTTCTATGTTACTTTGTTCTCACACCAAGACCAGATCAGTCACCTTCTTGTCATCTTTGCCTCTTTTTAAATGTAGTCATCTTTTTAGTACTGGATTTTTTTGTTTAACCCAGGGCTTTTTAAAGCTGGCTCTGGCTTCCACATGGAAACCAGTGATTAAGAATCTGCAGGATCTTTTTGTGAGCTCAATCTGTTTTTAAGAATATTTCATAGACAATTAAGTATTCTGTTAGGGATTAATCTGTTGGGGAGAATTTTAGATTTATTCCCCTTATGTCAGGGTAAATTATACCAAAATTCTTCCCCTTAGCTTTCAAAGCATCAAATGGTTTTCAGACACATGACTTGCCTTACAGTTGATGGGGAACTGGATGTCTCTAGCCCTGTGCAACTAAAATGATAATCTTTGCATGGCTAACTACTTCCATATCTGTGTAAATGCTGTAGGATTACTGGCTCCAGTAAGACACTGGGCTCTTCCTCACTTGAATTCCTTTTCCACACCCAGACATCCTCTTCTAGTTTTAATGTGCAAAGTGAAGTGTGAAAGCTGTTTGCAGGAAAGATGCCTATTCCCTTGTGCTTTTCCCTCAAGTGGCTGTTATGGTCTGTGCCAAGATGATTATTAAAGACTCCTAGTCTATCCCCTGGAAGGAAAGTTGTCCCATGACAATCTGGAAACTGAAACTTCGTGGTCAAAATCTCTTTTTACTGTTTGTTCTGTCAATATGGTAGTGTCATTAATCCATCCTCAGGACTTCTTTATCACTGTGTCAGTAAAGTTCTTTTCCTGTCATGCTTCCCACATCAATTAGCACTTTATTGCTTCAGCCTTGGTCTGTGTTAGTTTATAGCTTAAGGATGAAACAAGCTGCAAGACTTCAGTCTGGTAATATAGGAGAACAAGCCTTCTGGACTGTCCTGTCACTGAACTTCAGTAGGTTGGAAAGGTGGTGTTTTGTTTTAATAAAGCAATAATTAACTATTGTAGCAAAGGTGCATTATCATATCAGGAAATTCCTTTCATTTGCCTTAGGCCAGACACCTTGGCCTGTTACAAGGAACTGTGGATATCTGCACATTGTCCTTGTTAGTAAATCCAGGTTTCCTTTTTTTCTTCAAAGAAAAGATGTGACCAAATAAAGCTATAGCAAGACTTGGCCATGCTTGTGGCTGTTCCTTAAGAACTGTTTTAAGGCATCAGTTAGCAAGGATATTCTTAGCTAATGGATATCTTGTCTCTGTGTTGTTATCCTCTTATTCATACTGCATCTGTATATCACTAAAATCTGTCATAAAAGACATTTCAGATTTTTGCTTAAGTAGCTGTTCATGTAATATTCATTGGATATGACTTAAATATCTTCTCACGTCAACAGAAGTGGAGTGTAAACAACACTTGTACACATCAAATAGATACAGTATAAATTTAGGTGTGTTAAGGGGATATGGTTTTTATCTCCAGTGGGTTACAACTTTAGAAGTGTTTTGACTTTCATAGTATGCTACAGCTGTAGCTTACACAGGTCATGGCTGTCTGCCTTGAGGAAACAAAACTGCCCTTCCCATGCTTCATGTGTCCTTCCTCAATCCAGCTTTACTATGCTGAGATGAGCATCAACTTCAGACAGCTCTAGAGGAACAGAAGTTGTCCTTAGTACCAATACCACTGTTGAGGTGAGAAGCCCAACATATAAACCAACATGTGGATGCGTATGAAAGAAAGGTCAGTACACATCTGACCTCCTTTGAGAGCAAAATATCTGCCTTCCTCAACTTGAGAGCCTTATCAAAAGCAGGGGTGCTCTGCCCAGTTCCTCAACTGGCTGAAGCTCTGCCTTCTTCCCCAGGACACCAGACTGGCAGAACAGTTCAGTTGACTTGCCTGGAATGTGAAAGTCAGGAGGGTGAGAACTGGCTGGGTACTGTCTGGGAAGGTTAATGCTGAGGCAAGGCAAGTGTTTTGCCTCTGCTTTTTGGCCAAGTCATGCCAGTCTCCAAGACAAAGCTCTGCTTTCAGAGGAAGCTCTTTCTTGGAAAAAAAAAATTCCTTCTTCCATTTTGCAAAGATGATCATTCTTGATGAACTAGGCTTTCAAATGGGTTTTTCTGTTCCTGAGGTATGAGGAAGCGACCTTCTTGTCAAATGTACCCTTGATTCAAACTGATTTCACTACAGCAGATTGCCAGTCAATCAATGACCAGTTTTTAGGCAAGTTTTCTAAAATGAGGTGAGCAACTGGGCAATTCTCAAAGCAGCAGGAGCTGTGGCTTTGTCTAATCAGTTTTTTTTTTTTAAAGTTGGAGGGTCTTTTTGAGGAACACTCCTTCCTTCCCCTGCAACCCAAGCCTTCATACTTCAGAAGTGCCAATGCTGTGGTCTTTCTGAAACTCTCAACTACAGAAGTAATATGGGTCTCTGTCTTGCTCCTTTGACCTGTTTTTGCACTTGCATCTACAGCTGTCCAAACCACTTGTGATTTGACCAACTAATTCTAGCCTCTTTGGGGAAGAAGAACTTTTGTCACGGCTTGTTTGTGCAAGGTTTCTGGAGCCTGAGGTTCAGCTTACTAAGCTTGTTGTAGGCGGAAGCAGTAGAACAAAAAACATGTTCTCATCTCACCCAATTTGATGCTGCTTTCAGAGCAAGACTCATGGTGTCAGACTTGCAGCAGTAACTTAGAGATCTTAGGAAGGTGGGAGAGGAGAAAGTTAAGCTGCAGTGCATGTTATCTAAAGACCTTCAAAGAAAGGAACTGTGTATTAAATCTTGCTGCTGACAGTGACTGGCAACTGATACCTAGCACCAGTACCCCAAGATGCATAGGCTGTACAGTCTTGATCTGAAATACCTTTTTCTCCCAAAATAAGGCAATGTTAGTCATGTGATGTGGGCAGGTGGTCTTCATTTGTCCAGTGAACTCAACCTTAAATACAATCTGAATTTTTAAGTCTTAAAGGTGAAGTCATCTTTTTCATCTTTTGTCAGGACACAAGGTTGTTGAAGTGTGCTCTTGTAGATCGTTACAGTATAGTCTGATAGTGCAGTTCAAAATTACAGCATGATGAATCTGTCATGTGCTCTGTTTAGTTTTAAACTGGGATTAGAAAAAGCATTAGCAGAGCTCTTCCACAGGTAGTCTCATGTGGTATGCACACCTCTTTCCTGTCACTGGATGTAAGTAGCCCTTGATCATAAACCCCAAGGACTCTCTCAATCAGATAGCAAGTTGTAGAACTATTACTCTTTGGTTAGGCTGGTTCAACCATCACCTTTGTCAGTGTCTGGAGAGATCTGAAGATTGTAGGTGAGCAGCTAGGACTTGCTCTTACTGAACACAAGGAACTTGCAGCTTCCACTACATCAGATCTGCCAGCATTTTTAATGGTCCCTTAGCTTCTAAATTGATGGTGTTTTCAGATGGGTTTGGCAGTGTTGTAGTTGCACTGTAAAGACAGACACTTGCACTTCCCTGTAGTCTTTTTTTTTCTGCAGTTCCTGTTTATGAAGATACAGGTTACCAAGACAGAGCATTAAGCAAAGATGTTGGGAACTATTAGCTCCAGTACTGAATTTAGCCAAGCTACCTGTGTGTCATCTGTCCTGGGTCTGTCACAAGTTCCTAGACCACAGCCCTTTGACACGTGGTGCCTTGCCCTTTTTTCTTCCCCTCCCTTGACATCAGCGTATCTAGAGACTTCAGTAACAGCTCTGTCGGAGCCTTTGGGGCTTTGCTTTTTAGTAAATGAATTTTCAGACACTAGATAGTAAGACACCTCTGGCGGTGTACCCTGTATAAGTGTGCGCTAACTTAAAGGACCCTTGTGGGCAGCCTACAACTAGCTACAGTCTATTTCAAGGCTTAAAATAACAGTGTACATAAGCAGTGGATCATTTTCAGCTCTCTGCTCCTCTAGCAGTAGGGATTGAGTCATAGAAGGAGGGTTTGCTTTGCCTAGTATGTGATTTGTTACCTTATAATCCCAAAGTTCTTGTGTCTATTAACTCTCCAGCAGCGTAGCTGGAGGTAGGTTGCCTAAGTGACTACATCTCAAAAGAAAGAGTAGAGAGTAGCAACTTCAGCATTTAATTGCCAAACAGTTTAGTCACCTGGATTGCTTCCAGGTTTTTCTAGAAATATTATGCCTGTCTGGAGCTTATTGAAATTCTTCACAGTCTTTTTCCAGGAGACCAGAAAAGGCCCTAGCCTTGTGGTGCATAAGTCATTTGTTGTGAAGAGCATCTTGTTTCTAGCTTGAGTCATACTCCATGTGTCCTTACTTGTTAGATGGGTCGGTTGGCTGGGCAGGTCCTGGAGCCACAGTGACTCAGAGCAGTGTCTCCTTCATGGCTTCTAGGTGAAAAGCAAAGAGCCCTTCTTGGTGTGAGGACTTTCTGAGTTTTCTCCAAGCTTAGAATGCCTCAGAGCAACACCAGACTGAGGGAGGGGTGCCTTGTAACTGTACCCGTTTTATCGCTGGGAATGTCTGTTACACTGGCCTGGACTTTCTCAGCTGTTGGGGGAGCTTAGGCATAAGTACCATCAATGAGTCAAAGCAGTTGCCAGTTTTCCATGCTGTGGTGCAAGGGTTTCTAGGGTTATCCTGAACTGTTGCATTCTGAACATCTGTATTCTTGGTTTTGCTGGTTAATCCATGGACACAAACACTGCAATCCAGGGCAGCATTTATCAGGTTGGCTCTGCTGGTATCGAACAGCCTCTTTACAAGTCTATCTGATAACACTCTCCAAAAGCTCCACCTGTGGATAAAGGTTTTTCTTTGTCTCACCCAATGGCCTTGCCTAAGCCAGGTAGTTTTAATGCCAGTAAGGAGCATAATCCCATGAGGTGGCTCTATACAAAGCCTTTTTGCTTCTGTCTGAATGACAAGCTTGCATTGTCTATCTCTGGTCATGCAAGAGCTTTGATTAGATACAGAACTTCCTTCTAGGATCTCCACTGTAGCTCTACTGGGATGTTGACCCTTCTCATGGCCCCTGCCAACTGGGAAGTCTTTAAAAAAAAAAAAGCCAAACAAAACACACTTGTATTTGATATAACCAAACCCTACTGCTTAGCCCAAGTCAGCAGCTTTGCAAAGGAGCATGTTTTGTCATTGTGTTACTTGACAGCTTGACCATAAGTCTCAGTGACAGATCACTAGACATTCTTCTTGAAAAAGCATAACCTCTTTCTCTGAAAATCCCAAGCTGAAGAGGTGTGTGGAGAGTTCAGGAAGAACAGACCTGTGCTCTTCTCATTTTGCCCATGCAGCTGTGTTAGAACAGGCTGAGTGACTTCAAATGTTCTTGGTGAGCAGTTTACTATGAAAATATTTTCAAATTGGCAAAATTATACTCTGCAACCACCTCTAAATGCTGCCCTGAAAAAGCTTGTATACTGAGACACTCTCCCTGCTGCCATGTTCTGAGTCAGATTCTCTGGAGCTGACAGCTGCAGGGGAGATGATTTGCAAATAGCAATGCAATTTTTCTATATCTGCTGATGTTTACCTTTAAAATTATATATAAAATATATATGAAACAATGTCTTTGATTTTTTCTTTGATTTTTTTTGTTCTTGTGTGGTGTAAAATGGAGGTCATTGCAAAACAAAATGTAATTTTGTTACCTTTGATTCAGTGGGATTTCTTTATTTAAAAATAAAGGACTTATTGAAGTCAGTGCTACATGTAGTGACTGTGTGCAGTGTTACTAGGTGATGAAGTCCAGCTGTCATGCTTTGACAGGCAAAGCAGCCATGCTTTCTCACTCCCTCAGCAGTGGGGAGAAGATAATCTGATGTGGGAATATACTGGGCTAACAAGGTAATACTGCTTAAAATGCAACTGGGTATCTGAACATGTTCCCTCACTTGTGAGGTTTGGATTAGCTAAAGGAGGAACGGGAGGAATCCTTTAGTCCCAGGCCTTACATGTGAATTAGTATTAAATGTTAGTTTCTGTTCACTAGTGCTGTCTAAAACAAGACTCTTGGGGGAAGTCTGTCCTTATACCCCTGTGGTATACACTAAGGCAGGAGTTGGTTTGCTGCTCCCTCACTTCCAGACAGGACAACTTTTGTCAGTAACTCCTGTTTAATGAACTATGGTGTTGCCTCTGTGTTTTGACCCACTAGTTGGCTATTCTAGTGGTAAATGCAAGGGCCCTAATTGTTCTAGGAATGTGAATTAATCCCTCCTTTGAGGGAGAAACCTCAAGCTTGCAGTCCTTCCATATTTCTGGGGTGGGGAGGACAAGAGCTGTGGCAGTGTTGGGGGTGTTTTCTCCATCTTTCACTTGTTGCAGCTTCTGTGTCCACCTCTCAAAGACCTGGCTCATTGCCCACTGAAAGCTGAAGTGAGTATCAAGTAGGTAAATGGGAAGACTGCACAGGGGCTGTATGTAAAACATGTTTGGTGTGCCAGCCCCTGCCATGCTGTCATCTCCAGCTGGAGACGCCTTCTGCCTCTCTGTTCCAGACAGCAGAACAAGGACAGAGCTGTTACAGAAAGCCTCTAGGGAGAAGTCAGTCTTAACAATTCCTGCTATATATAGGAGCATCCAACAATTGCCCTGGCTGTCACATCTGCTGGGGCTGGGATTGGTGGCTAAGCATAGGGTGTCTAGCAGGCTCTTGAACAAAGGAGTGTGTGGCTTTCTTGGCGGTTGACAGGCTTGCAGCTCAGCTTTCCCTGAGCCCAACTTGGGGAGCTAGGTGGGGGGTGACTATCTTCTCCCCCTCTCTCCCTTGCAGCATGTGACACAAGCACTAGTGATGCTCAAGCCTTTCCTAGTTGCTTTTTGTCTTCTGGCCAAGAGAGCTCTTTGATGCCACTGGTGGAGAATGGAGATGGCATCAGCTTAAAAAGCTGAATGCCTGCCCTGAAAATACTGAAGGGCTATTTTTGCTGGTGGATGAGAGCAGGTTGTGACAGTCCTGTGTCAGCCCACAGGTTCTCCTAAGATCACTAGGTTGCTGGCTGGAGGAATGCTCCAGAGCCAGACCTACAGCTGTGCCAGGGCTAAGACCCAAAGCAGGATGGAGGGCTTAGCTGTGGCCCTTCCTGCAGCATGTGGAAGGACTCTCCTCCAGGATGATAGCTTCCCTGGAGTGTGTGGCAAAGCTTCTGGCTCATGTGTTTCTGCAGAAATCATCTGTTATTTTTCCCTACTTGAGAGCAAGTGGATTTCCTAATCTTTCAGCTGCTGGCAGAGGAAACGCACAACACCATCTCCAGACAGGACATTGACATCTTTGAGCCCACAGCATAGAAAAGCCCTGCCAAATGCACTACTTGACTGACACTAAGAGCTCACCGGTGTGTGGTGTTTTACCTAGTGAGACAGATGTGGAGGGTAACTGGGACTGGTGAGCCATTGTGGTGGCTGGGCTGGGCCAGGACTGTTGCTGCTCTTCCTCTGTAATGAGAATTGCTCTGTGGGAGGCAGTGTTTTGGGCTCCATCTCTAGTTTATTGGCCATTGTGATTTAGCTGTTAGATCTACTTCAAAACTCCTTCCTGGCTTGGTCAGAGTCACTCTGGGGGGAAGCTGAGGCCGGCATGGATCATGCTCCCTGCTTGGTTTGCTCTGCTGTTCTCCATCTCCCCATCAAAGCAAGCTACTGGCTGACAATTTGTCCCAGCAGTGGTGAGCAGGCATAGGGACCTCCCAGGAGCTGTGCCTGTCCCAGTCCAAATCCCAGAGGCAGCAGTGTGGTGCTCCCTCTGTGCGTATGGGTTGTTTGGGGTTTTTTTTGTCTTCTGTTTTTACAAGTGAGCTGCAATTGCTCTGTGTCCCAAGCAAGCTGTGCTGTTGTTTTTGCACTGGCCTGATCGTTGTAGGGTTGTCACGTGTGGTTTCCTTCAGATGCCTCCAGATGCTTCCCGGCCCTGTGGAGAGTGCTGCACAGTAAGGAGCCAAACGCAGCAGAGAGGTACTTTTTGCTCTCCCTCTGGGCTCTTGCACAAGGTTGGCGCAGCCTCAGGCTGGGACTCACCACACATAGACTAGCTGTGCTGGTGAGGCTGGAGAAAACAGATTTAACCCCAGTCGCCTCTGCCCAGACAGGCCCCATCCTCCCTGCAGCTTCAGAGCCGACGTCCTGTTTGGTTTGAGCCTGAGCCAGTGCCCTGATGAATGTGGCTCTTGTCAGCACCCTCCACCTCAGCCAGCTTCGGCTGGGGGTCTGGTCTTCTGGCTGATGAAAGGCACCCGTGTGTAGCTGCGGGGCTGAGAGGGAGAGAGCGGGGACAGGGCATGCTGCGGGACCAGGTTAACAGACAAGAAGGTAACCTGGGCAGAGACCAGCAACTTGCTCCTCTCCAAGCTCTACTGCTGGCCAAAGGAGGAGAAGATGGTCTGGAAACGGGTATCTGATCAGCTCCTTAGAGGAGATGCCTGGTTTGTGAACTGGAGCAGACTGCTTTGCCTGGGACGCAGCTACTTCTGCCTCCCTCCTCCCCATCTTGGTCCCGCTGACTCCATGTTAGCAAGGGCTGATCAGCATTAGCATCAGGCACAGCTCTGTTTGCTGGGCAAGGACCCTCCTCTGCCCTCTGTGGTAGCTTTTGGTGGGGCTTCCCTGACTGAGCTCCCTCTCATGATGCAGTGCTAGGAGAAACAGCTGTGCTGAGGCTTTTGAAGGATTTAGGAGGGTATATTCTGCTTGTCTTTTACTGTCCTGCAGTTAAAATCCATCTCCTAGTCTTAGTGGCTGCTGCAGCTTCTGTTCCTCCTCCCTGCCTGCCTGGCTGAGCAGGTATTAGGCAGAGCCAGCTGGGCCCTGTTTGCATCTTGTAGGCTGTTTTCTCTTTTCTGGTTAAGGCAGGTGACTGAGAATTGGGGGTCCTTGCCCAGCCATGGGGGAGCTCGTTCAGGGATGCAGGTACGATCAAGGTGGCCAGTTCCTTGGCCCCTGTGCCAAAGGGCAGTCAATGATGGGGGGACAGCACTGACACTCCTGGCCTCCTTAGAACAAGCAGTGCAGCCAGCACCTGTGCCCAAGAAGCTGCACCCCTATTCCTGGCCGCTTGCCCCAAGGGACCCTGGAGCTCTGCTGTTAAACACTATTTCTCCCTCGCTGTAGCCCTCCCTTCCCAGAGCAGATGCTCTCCTTGTTGTCCCACTGCAGCTTCAGGGTGTGCTGTGGGAGAGGGCTGGTGGCCTCCTTTTCCTGCTGGCTCCCAAGGGAAGGATGCTCTGCCAGGGAGGGACAGGGCTGCCAGGCAGCCTGCTGCCAGGTTTGGGGAGGGGAGGGACAGGCATGGAGCAACGTGCCCAGAGCGCTTCATCACGAGCAGTCATTCAATCAATGCTACAATAAGGAGGTGGTTGGGGTTAGAGGGCCACCTCTGATCCTATTTTACAGGGGAAGGGAAGCGGATCCCAGTTTAGAGTGCTGTGTCTTCAGCCTCAATGCGGGGCCCAAAGAGCTTCTCTGCAGTTGCTTTGCCGTCGTACTTGGGCAGGGTGCCACCAAAGTCTGCTGGTAAGATGTCAATGTCGATCTCCTGGTAGAAGGACTCCAGCTCCTCCCCGTGCACAAAGACCTGGTGGGAGACAGGAGTGACCCTCAGCAGAGGACCTGGGCAACTCTTCCCAGATGCTCTGTTTCACCCAGGGATGTGCCTCTGCCTCCAGGTCCCTTTCCCACACTCACCCTCTCCAGCAGTTTGCTCTTCAGGAAAGGTTTGACCACGTTGTAGGTGGTGGTGAAGTACCAAGGCTGGTGGATGAAGTGGACGGCCTTGAACCGTGCTGGGAAGGAGTCCTAGGATCCCAAACCCAGACACAGACAGTTACAAAGGGTGCTGGCTCTGCAGATCTGGGCGGGCAGCAATAGACACCCCAGCACTGCCATGGCTCCCCTTGCCCAATCTTCCCTTCTCTCTTTGATGGACACAGAGGATCAGCTGTCCCAACCCCAGGACCACCAGGGAAGCTGAAGAGCCTCACAGATGGTTCATTGCTCCCACTCCACGAGAAGGACCACATCTCTGCTGTCCTCCTTCCCTGGGGAGAGCTGAGTGTCTTTGGCCTCTGGTCTAAGGGCAGAAATCCTGGAGTGCCTGTGAGTCTCTATCCAGCCTGGATGGGGCTGGGCTGAGACGGTGGTGAGGAAAGGCCTCCAGGCCATGCTGTAGGATGCTGCAAGGAGTGGTGGTACTGCTTCTGGTTGGCCATTTGAGAGGGCAGGGGGCTGGGGCCAGAAAAATAGGATCCATCTTGCAGGATTTAGCCAATTAGCTGGCAAGGGAAGGAGTGTGTGCCAGCGAACAGCCTCTCCATGGTGCTTTCTCATGGTGCCAGTGTAGTGGCAATCCCAAACCCTGCTAGCCCTGCCTTCACCCTTCCCTGAGCTCTCTGCTCCCCCAGGGCCCGCTCTGCCACTGCTGGGCAAAAGACTTTGCCACCTCACCTGCAGCATGTCCACCATCTTCTTGAGCTCAGAGGGTTTGATCCCTGATGCCTGCTGCATGGTGAAGCCCTTGAAGTTCTCAATGATGCAGAAACCGTTGATTTGGGTCTCTTCATTTTCCAGCAGCTTCTCCAAGATAACACAATAGGCACGAAGGATCTGGTGGAGAGAAGCAGAGTCTGGTATTAGGTCTCACCTCCCATAGACCCCAGGAGGTTCCCAGGAAGACCCCCATGCAGCGTTAGCCGGGGTCTGCTTGACTTCAGCCTGCCTGTTGCAGCCAGCCCCAGGACTTCAGAGCAGGGAGGGCATTTCAGAGGATGCTCAACAACCACCATGTTCCCCTTTCAAGATGGGCACATCTCAGGTCTGGATCAAGGATATGTTCCCACTGAATTTAGAGCTGAGCAGAAAGCGGAGCTTGGAGAACTTGTGAGTTACATGCCTGGAGACCTCTTTGCCAAGAAGCCCTTTCTGTGCCCTGTGGGTTCCTCCTTCCTCAAGCACCTTGGTTTTATGGTGTGGTGCCTTTCTTCACCTCATGTTACCTGGGCTGGGGGATGCACACCTGAATTTGGCCTGCATCTTGCACCATGTCAGGGGGAAGGAAGGTGAACCCTTTGGTATGGACCATGCTCTTCCAGATTCCCTGGAAGGATAAATTCAAAGGGCTACAGATCTGCTTCAGCCTGGATTTACCGGCTGGAGGCTGTGTGTGGACATACGTATATGTGTGTCTAAGGGATGCTACACTTAGACGTGCTGAGCGGGACAAGCCCAGGAGCAGGACCGTGCTGCTCTGGGAGTGACGGCTGGGCTGGGCTGGGCTGAGCTGACCTCATCGAAGGTGATCTCTTCGTAATCCCAGTTCTCAATGTTGAAGAGCATCACAACCCGGCCATACTTGTCTCTGCTAGCCAGGATGCCGGGGTAGCCAGCTTCGATGGTGCTGCGCACGGCCTCGGGGGTCAGGTTGTCGAAGAGCTCAGGATACTGCTGGCGGAAGTTCACGTAGCCTGGAGAGAGGCAGAAATTGGGGAGGACAATGGCTGCTCACCTGGCCTTGGGAAGTTGGGGGAGGCCCCAGAGACAGGATGGACTGGCAATGGTGAGACATTGGTCCTGAGCCCGAGAGCTGCAGACCAGCTGTGCCTGGGGTCCACATGGGTCAGGTCTCCAGCAAAGGTGGGGAGAAGGAGCTCAGCAGCAGACCAGCCTCAGCCCCAGCATGCTCAGTGTTATTCTCCCCATGCCAGGGACTTCCCATGCCTGCCTTCTCTCCGACATCTCAACAAGCAGATGATGTCATTTTTTCCCTCATTTCCCTTCTCCCCTTCCTCCTCATTTGGGTGATGTCCCCCAGCTCCCCTCCCTTGGCACCCTGCGGGCACAAAATAAGGAATCTCATCCTGGGTCCTGGGAAAATGTGGACGAACAAAACCTCTCGTCTGAGAGCCAGCGCTGATAATTACAACTCATTATCCTCCAGGCCAACACAAAGAAGAGTGGAGCCGGAGCCAGGCAGGGCCCTGCCGGCAGCCACCCCCCGGGCTGCCCTCCCCCTCCCCCTCCATCCCTATGGGTCACTCTCAGTGTGGGGAGGGGGTGCCACAAGCCCCCCACCCTGTGCCCTACCCTTGAGGGGTCCCAGGTGTGCTGAGCCCACCAGGCACCATGCACAGAAGCATCAGGGTAGGTGCAGGACCAGCTCCTTACAGGGATACAGAGGGGCGTGTATAGGGTGTGGGCGTCTCGAGAGGATGCAGCCCAAACCAGCTGGGTTTGCTGCACAAATGAAATAGCCTGCCACCACCAAATGCATTTTTCTTCCCATTTTGTCTGGTAAATTAGCAAGGAATGGGACTGTCCTGGTGTTGCGGGATGCCTGGTATCACCCTCATTTATTTCCTTCCCCATCCCAACTCTTTCCCCTGCATCCTAAGCCCCCGAGCCCTGTGTTTTTCTATTTATCCTCTCTCCTCATCCCCTTCCCATGCCAGGGTCCTGCTCTGCCAGCACAGCCCAGACCGGGGTGGGGCTAGGAGGCAGCAGCACAGGACTGGGAGCTGCTGGTGGATGTGTACCCCTGTCCTCACCCAGCATCACAGCCTGGGACCCCTCCCCACCTTTCAGCAGGTCATAGGCCCTGTGGACGTCAAACTTGCGGGCGCGAATGAAGCGGAGGAAGAAGGAGTCGTCCTTCCCTTGCACTTTCTCAGCTACCGCCTTGCACACCTCCTCGCCGCCCGCCCGTTCCTGCACCAGCTCCCGCAGCGCCTTCACCGCCACCTCCCTCTGCTCCTCCGTCTCGTTCAGCTCGTCCTTTGCCTGGAGGGAAGCAGAGAGGGGACCCAGCTCAGTGATGCCCCCCACACACCCCAAAACACCCTGGAGGCCATTAGGCACCCAAAAGCTGGAGGAGTGTAGTGATGCTCCTTGCAGCATCCCACTGTGGGGAGGGCAGGGTCATCCAAGTTCCCTACTTGCAGACCCTTTGGGGTAAGTGCAGCCCCTCCCAACACAAGAGCCCGTCAAGGGTCTCCTCTGGCCCTCAAGAAGGAGCAGGAGCCCTGGGCTGCACCTGCTCCCCATGGCCGCCCTCACCTTCTGCAGGGTGTGCGGGGGGATCTTCTCACACCTCCCGAAGACAGGGCCATGGTCCTTGGTGGTGAGGCGCTCCAGCTTTGTGCGCAGGGCCTGCTCCTCCTCCGAGACGATGCGGAAGGTGCCCGTCTGGGGGTGAGGAGAGGATGTGGGGTCTCCCCAGCTCCCTACCCCACTGCAGGTCTCCTGGGGTAGGGGGCTATGGGGAAGAGCAAAGCCTCCGCACACACGCCCAAGGGCATGCAATGGGATGGGGATGGGCTGTGTGCTGCCCAGGCTCCCTGTCGCAGACTGAGAGCAGCTGGGGAGGCAAGGGGTGCGTGGGGTGCACCCCATGCCGGCAGTGCACAGAGGGGATGCTCAGAGCCCAGGGTTGGGGTGGTGCAGAGGCAGTACTCACAACTGTAGACATGTTGTCCTCTGTCCTCTGTTGGCTGCAGGACACTGGGAGAGGGAAGGAGGAATCAGCAGCAGTGGGGATCCCAATGGCCTCCGCAGCCCCCCCACGCCCCATCCCTTCCCCTCTTGTTCAGGCAGGGGTGGAGGTGTGTGCCCAGAGGACACCCCCAATCCTCCTCGGCTCTGTTATGTACTGCCTGCATCTCTGCCTGCCTGCTAGGGGCTGAGCAACCTCAGAAACACCAGGGATGTTTGCAAAAGCAGCTTAAAAATGGGTATTGATCATCTGACACCTTCACACTTTTTTTCCGGCTCTGCCTTTCCGCTGGAGGTTGGGGGCATCTCATGGGGACCTCCAACCCCATGAGCTCAGCCAGTGCTGTTTTGTCTCAGACCACCTTCGTACAGGCAGAGGCAAGCACCCAGCTTCGGCCAAGGAGCCAGGCAGCCAGCTTGTGCTTTTTTTGCCTTTTATTTCTGCTACCCCATTATGCCCAGAGTGTTTCCCAAACCCTCAAGCCCCACTGCTCCAGCCCAGAGCCCATCGCCAGCCGCAACGCTGGACTGCAAGCCTCTCGGCATCTTTCCAACGTGGTCTGGGTGAAACACCTTGTTCCCATGCATGGGGAGGAGGGAGAGGGCTGCCTTCATCCAACTTCAGCACCTGACCCTGACCCTGCCCGGCCATAGCACCGGCTCCGAGCCCAGGCTGTGCGAGGGATGCTTGGCTCCAGTTCAACCACTTCCCAGGGGCATCTTCTTCCCCACAAGTTCCTGGGGAAGGGATGGGCATCCCCTTTTTCCAGCCACTAAAAGCAATCCCAACCCTGGAGATGCCAGGTTAAGGGAGGTCTGGATGATGGTCTCCAATGAAGTTATTTCAGGTGGAAAAAGTCCTGGATACTCACCAGGGAGAGGAAAAGCTGAACCGTCTGCAGAGGGTCAGTGCACGGGGCCGAGATGGACGCACGGACGGCAAGGCTGGAGTGGAGCAGCAAGATAGCCGGGCGAAAGCTTTGTAGAGTCACCGGGTTGGGATTAGACCGTCACAAGGCATCAACTCACTGCAGCTTTGTAATTAAGTCAGCACAAACCCAGGCAAGAAACCCCATTAAAACATTACAAAAGGCAGCTGAGGAGAGGGAAGGAGGGAGCTGGGGCTCCAGCGGCAGGCCAGAGCGTGCGTGGAGGGGCGGGCTGGGATGCCGGACCCGATTAATGAAATATAAAAGCTTCTCGTTGTGTAACTCGCTCATTAGCACGGGGCAGGGGCAGAGGCAGGCAGTGGGCAGCCTGCCATGCCCGCCTGCTCCCCCGGGGAGAGCGGGCCAGGTCTCTTCCCCTGCTTCTGCCCCAAAAAGCCTGGCAAGGTCCCGCTGTGAATTTGGCCGCATGAGCAGTGTCTGGCTGTGGGGATGGGTCCATGGCAGAGGATGCTCCTGGGGCTGGTCCTGCCTGGGGCTCTCCAACTCCTCCCCAGTAAGGCCACCCAAACCAGCAACCACACAGGACTCCTTTCAGCTTTTAAAATAAAAAACCATGGACAGGTGGCTTTTTTTTATCCTGCCCTTGAGTGATGGTTTCCTACTCAGAGCTTTAGGAACTGGAACCCAGTCCACCCCTGGGGTGATGCTGTGGACCCAGGAGGGAGGGGAGCCCCGGGATGTGGCAGGGCCCACGCTGAGCCCATGAGCAGGTGCAGCGGGACGAGGCTTTTTGGGCGTCCACATCCCAGCATGCTGAAGCTGTGCGGGGCAGGGGAGCCCTTGCAGCCTTAACTTTTTTTGGGCCCAGGGTTGTGGGAGCTGGGTGAGGATGTGCAGAGGATGGGGCTGTGCGCAACTCTTTCCCCAAGCCTAGGAGAGGAGCTCGGCTGGGCATTTACGATGGGGATTTTGGGGAGGTGGCAGGGCCAGGCTAAGCACCAGAGCAGGACGAGGGGGCTTACACAAGGCATGTTTCGTAATGCCACTGGGATTTACGGATTTGGTTTCCACGGGGCTGCCCTGCAAACAGAGCCGAGACCCCGCTGCGAGGGAGGGAGGAGGAAGGCACGAGACTCCAGATGAAGGGCAGGGGGGAGTGGGGAGGGAAAACCCGGACCTGTGCCAAGACCGCGGGCAATGCCGCCGTGGCCAGGGGCACCGCATGCTCCTCTCCACGGGAGACCCCCCAACCTCCCCATCCCCTTCCCACGCCAGCCCCGGCACAAGGCTCAGCTCCCTCCTAGTGCTTGTCGGACATTTGTCTGCAGCCCAGCGATCAAGACGGTGCACGACAGGGGAACACCGTCAGCGGAGGGCTTCCCCGACAGCCCTGTATGGGGGTGGCAGAGGGGACCTGTGCTCCTGTGGCCACCGTGGCGACCCGGCCATCATGGTCACTGCAGATAAAATAGTTTTGCAGATTCACGCGCAACCCCTGGCATCACCGAGTGGGTGCTTTGTCCAGGGAAAAGGGGTCCTGGGAAAGGCGGCAGCCCCAAGAGGGACCCACCCAAGGAGGACCCACCCCAAGGTGTTGTGGCCAAATCCCTTTGGGGATCTCTCAGCCAGGTCTGGTTATCCCCCTCCCCACGGCCCCTGGCCCCAGGCGAACCCACTCCCCCTTGCTCTGCAGCATCCGCTCCCGCTCCCCCTGAGCACGGGGCTTGCAAAAGCTCCCACGCTGTGCTGGCACCGTATCCTACGGCTAAATCCCGCTGCTTAAAGGCGGGCTAAACCTCCTCGTGCGCCCAAGGCCACCCCTCGTGCCCCCTGGAATTAAGGGGTTTACTCGAAGATATCTGCACCCCACGTGGGTGGCACCCGCGGGGGCCGGGCACTGCTGCTGCTGCGGGGTGGCCCTGAATGGGCACTTTGTGCCGAGTGCCCCAGTCCCCCCCCCGGCTGCCCGCCCCATACGCCTGCACCCCATGCTGCTTGCACCCCGCACCGCCCTTCGCCCCACGCCACCCCGCGCCCCCATCCTGCCTGCGCCCCACACCGCCCTGCCACCCCACGTGCCTGCTCCCCGTGCCACACTGCACCCCACGCTGCCCTGCACCCTATGCTGCCACGCACCGCATGTTGCCCTGCAGCCCACGCCATTCTGCACCCCGCGGGACTCGAACCCGCCATCTCCCGGGGCGGCCGGAGCAGGCGGGAGCGGCCGGTGGCGGGGAAGGGAAGTGAGCGCTCGGGGGCGGGAGCTGTTGCCCGGGTGACGGGCCGGCACTTCCGGGCGGGAATTTCGGGGTGACGGAGCTGAGGCCCGGAGGGCGGCGGCGGCCGCCGGCAGCGCGTCCCCGGCCCGGCCGGGCTCCTCCGCGGCACCATGGCCCAGCGCATCCTGGCGCTGGCGGCCGAGGAGGTTCCCGAGCGGCTCCAGGAGGCCCTGCAGAGCCTGGGGGAGGGCGAGGTGCGGCGGTGGCCGGCGGGCTGGGTCCTGCTTGCGGGGAAGGGGAGGGGCGTGCGCCCTGTCAGGCGGGCGAAGGCGGCTTCTCGGGTGCGGTGCAGCTCACAGCATCCCCTTCTCGTTGCAGCTGGGCGATATGGTGACCACGCAGGCCCTGAAGGGGAAGGAGACGGCAGCTTTGCTAAGAGGGATCTTCAAAGGTGGGTGATCTCCGAGCTGTGCTGCGGGGGGGCGGGGCTGTGGCCCCAGCCCCGCTGATTGCCAATGAGCCGGCGGGTTGCAGGCTGGCTGGGTGAAGTAAGTGGTCAGCAGCACAAGGAAGTGTCAATTTCGGTAAAAACCAGCTCGTCAGGGCTGTCGCGGGGAAAGATGACATCCAAAAATAGATGTGGGGAAACAGGAAACTGGACTAATATATTTTTTATGAACTGTTGTAAGCGGGCTTTGCTTTTGGGAGCCCTTAGGTACCTTGGAGTAGAACTGGGCTGGCCAGCTGAGACTTAATTGCCAAGCTGATTCTTCTCAACATTTTCACACTTCCTGATCTCCAACAGCAGGTTGAGTGAACCACAGGGTGTGATAACAGGGTTGAGTTGAGCTTAGCTGTTTATCCACGAGTTCTCATTTTCTGTGCTCTGTTTATCTGTTTTGTCAGATAGATAAAATAGGGAGTTGCAGTCAGGTGACAGTTTAGCCCTGCTAATTTCTTGTTGTTTAGCAACATGTTGTTACTTAAATACCTTTTTTCCCTTCCTTATTTGTTTTCTTTATTTTCTCATTGTAAGGCTCCCCTTGTTCCCAGCCAAGCGGTGTTCTCAGGAGGCTTCAGCTTTACAAGCACTGTGTCCCACTAGTGGAGTCAGGGGACCTGCATTTGGGCAAGGTGTCTGAAATCATAGGACTGCTGATGCTGGAGGTAGAAGCTCATTTGGTCTGGCTTTCCTGGGCTCTGCTGGGTATTGTTTCCTATGTAGATTGAGATATTTCAGTAGGCCACTGAGGAAGATGAGTTGTGTCCTTTCCACAGATCTACTCTGGACTAAGCTGGTGTTGGAATTTGCCGTGTGTGTAAATGTGATTATCTTTGGATATTTAGGCTTAGACTCAAAACTCCAAACCTATAATTACATCAGCTTGATTTACTGCTCTGTTCTATAAAGGGCAGTACAAAATAGAGATGTTGGGGCTGAATTCCCCTTTTAGGGGAACATTTCACTTAAGAAACATTGCCCTTTTTTGCTGGGTTTTGGTGACAGTTTGGATGTATACATTGAATTCTGTGCACTGCCTCAGGCTCTTTCATGTTGTTGTATCTTCTCCCAGGCTCGCCAGCTGCCAGGCCATGCGTTGGCTGAGCTTGCCACCCTGTTTGTTGATGTTATTAAAGGCGGCAGCCTGTCTAACGGGAAATCCTTGGAGTTGTTTTCCACTGTTCTCACTGCATTGGCCAGTTCAAAGGAGAGTCTAGCTTATGGGAAAGGTAACCCCTCTCAGTTCCTTCTCCCCAGCCTGTCCTCCCTTCCTCTGGAATCAGCTCCTAAAAGACTTTTGCTGTTTCAGGTGAACTGAATGGGGAAGAGTTTAAGAAACAGCTGATAAATACCCTGTGCTCCAGCAAGTATGTACATCTCTGCCAGCTCTTAGTCACATGGCAAAACAGCGTGCTTCATATTGTGCTTTGAAAAAGTCATCATGATGAGCTGGATGTCACCGTCTGTGTCCTGTTTTATCATCTTTGAATCTGTGCCCTCCGTGATGGTGTCTTCTCTGGCTGGGAAGGCATGGGAACACCCTGTTCCCAGATATTGTAATAGTGTTGCTTGAACTGATCTCAGGAAGTGCTTGTTTTTATTCCTTTCTCGGCATTTGTTATTGTGGGGGCTGGGGCATTTCAGAACCATTATAAGTCTGGGTGGTTAGGGTGACAGCGGTGATTTCTAGTGGAAATCTGGATTCTAATCTTAGTATCAGAATGCAGCAGGGAAATGGTGACATTGAATAATTGTGTATGAGTAGGGAAGGGCTAAGCGGTAATTCTGCTTGCTCTCAATTTTCCAATGTATTTTTGTTTTATCAGGTGGGATCCTCGGAGTGTAATACATCTTGCCAACATGTTCAGGTAATTTTCTTTCCCTTCAACATCACCACTTTCTTGTGCTGTAGTCATATCCATGTCCTATTTCACATGTAGTTTGGGGCAAGTACAAATAGGAGGTCTGACCATACCAGACACAGCCCCATGGATGGTTGGTCGATGAACATCCACATCAGATCCATTTGGATACAAAATGCAGCTGAGCAGGCATGTCCCAAAGACTGGGCATACCTGCCCAGCTAGACAGGCTTCACTGGACATCATGGTTTTTATTCCATGTGTGAGTGAGCCTTGGCAAATTAACATTAATGAACAAGCATAATGTGGAGGAGATCTAAGCATCAAAGGTTGAAGAGAATCCTGGGGCAGTGATAAGGTATTAGGGATCTGTAGCAACTGCTTCTGGTAAGGACTTTAGGAGCACTCCCTGCCTGTCTGTATGTTAGTACCCTTTGTCTAGTTATGGGTTGAATCTGCTGTGGGATTCTGAAGGAAATTAGCAAAAATGATTAGGCTGCATCTTTGATCCAACAGGGATATTCCACTATTGGGAGAGGAGCTGCAGTTTGTGGTGGAAAAGGTCCTTAGGATGTTCTCCAAATTAGACCTG